AATTATTATAATAATTCATTATTTTAGAATATTATTGTTTATAAACTAATATTACATAATATATACTATTTTATGTTTATAGAATAGTACTACTAGAATTTATAAAATAAAGAATAAAAAATTCAGGGACTTACTTAAAAATAAGGTGATCTTACAAGGACTTGATAAAAAGAAAATAAATGCAATGACCTAATTAAAACAGATGAAAGTATAAAGACTTGATAAAAAGAAAAAAATTATAGGGACCTGATTCAAAATTGGTTGAAACTATAAGGACTTGTAAATTAATTATCCCTTTAAAATTTTTAAAACGAAATAAACTTATATTCCCATGTGCTGCGCATATTTCAACTGACATGTTATCGTTCTATCTACTACGCCAACTGAATCTTAACTAAAGAATTTTTTTCTTTTTTTAAAAAAAAGAAATCAGTGGAAGGTGACATCCCTATTCCCTACGGCCATAGGGAAAGGCAAAGGCCAAAGACACAGGAGAATGGTGATGACGTGTGCAAGCTTTCAAATTGGGACCACTTTTTCTGTGACCTCACCAACTTTTGAAGATTTGTTAATCCCACAAATTCAAATAAATAAATAAAAGACAAAAAAAGGAAGTTTCTGGGAAAGAGAGGGCTCCTTCCGTGTCGACATTACTGTGTAAGTAACTAATCTAATCCCTCATTATTGTGTAAATACAATTTCACCCGTCTAAATTTAAAGTTTTTAATTAAAAAAAATCATTTGAACAAATATTATTCTCTATTTTAGATTCGGTATAAACTAAAATAATTTTTAAAAAATTAAATTAAATTAAGTTTTCACTGTTTACATTTAATCTACACAGGGCATATAGCATGCTCCTCTCGCGTCAGCAAATAGTAAACAAAAGCAGGCCTCAATTATTATTATAAACTCCTTCGTGCTTATCTATGATTGATCAGTGATTAACTTTGTCTTCTTTCTTAATCATCAACGTTTATGCCAACCACCATTCCCGAATCCTTCATAATTTATCATTCTTCTAAAAGTGCCAGTGCTTCATCCACAACCACACAGTCAATTCTGACCAACCATAATTACTTTCTTTCACACAAATCAAAAATTGCAAACCATGCCGGTTGCAGATAAGTTTTTTTTTCTCTCCCCTTTTTCTTTTTCTAAAAGCCATCTCTTCCGCTATGTATCTGAATTTTCTTTTTTCTTTGTTTCTTTTTAATTTCATGCTGGAATATGCCCAGAACATGTCTCTGGTTGTGTCCAATTATGTACTGCATTTTTACGTTGCCCTGTATGCATCTATCGGTCTTAATTAACATGGTTCTCCATTTGCTCTTGTTTTCGAATATTATTAATTAGCCCTGCACAATTTGAAGATTCAATTTGATCACACCTAGGATAAGTAAACTGAGAATGTTGAAATAGATATGTCATTGTGTTAAAAAAAAGAGAGAGAGATTCGTGATGAATAAGAATTGGTGTGACGCTCATCAAACAAAAAAATTGTAGAAAACCGTTTGATATGATTTAAAAGCAACAGTTAAAGGATGTAAAGTAAAATTGAAGAGAACACTCAGTGTAATGTTTTTTATCATTTTTGTGCCATTGACCCAACTATATGTTACTCTTCCGATCCTTAATATAAGACCCATTTAACTAATTTGATTAGATTAAGAAAGTTAAGTAAATTAGTTAATTATAAGAAATATGACATGTTTTTTTTAAAATACCATAATCATCTTTCTTAATACCCCCTCTTCCTCTTCTATTTGATTATGGTTGAAGAATTATCCATAGGAGTAATTTAGATAAAATTGATAAATATGATAAATGGGTCTTATATTTATGACTAAAACTAACTCAACAATTAGATTCTATATTAAGGAACGGGGGAGTAACTCATACGGTTAAAAATAAAAGCAAGGTAACAATGATCTCGATAGAAAATTCACCTTCACAAACGTGAATTTAATCAAAGGACCCGCGGTTGGGGGTTATTATAGTTGGCCACAAGTGGTTTCATGTCGCTAGGATATCGAAGCGCTATGAGCTTTCTCCGATAAATGGGCCGAAATTGGCCCATTATGCCCCCAAGATTGATTCCCCTTGAGATTTATTTCGGGGTGAAATCGATTTAAGATAGTGTCACACTTACGGTTTCGCCCCATAATGTGCGAATTCGAAGCTAATTGGATTTTTTTGGGCCTAGACTTAGTCAAGATCATCACACAGACCCAAGGGAGGGCCCATTTAATTTAAATAAACAAACCATCACTATAATACATAAATCTATACCACTTCTTATTATGAAATGTAACTAAACATTTTGATATAATATTTCAGTACACTTTCTATATATCACTTGTATCTAAATTTAAAATTATTAACAATATCACACCACATGAGATATCAGAAATATTTAATTCAGAGTAAATAAGTAAACAAATTGAAGATAATTATTCCATTTAACTCATACGGAAATATTAAGAAAAATTCACATACATAAAATAATATATTTATTTTTACACAATACCAAACATAATTAATACATTTATTAATTATTAATTAATAGCAAAACGCGGGGAATTATTAACGACGAGGCATAACAAAGAAGCAGAAGAATTATTGATTGGCGTGTGCTGTACGGCAAAAGCTACAGCACACGAGAATTAATGAACATGGTTGGTTTGATTTGAATATTGATTCACTTGTCTTTTAATACCTTTGCTTGCGTATTGGGGTAAACGACGATTAGATAAAGAGGGAGTTTCGTTAGGGAGAACAACGGCTATTAATGGTCGTATTTGTTGCAGGAAACGTTAAACGACAGTGGCGGCAGTCTCAGGGAAGCGTAACATCAAGCCTACGGCAGGCACGATAAAAAGCGGCTCGCGTGGGGCGCCTGGAGAGTAGAGACCCAAAGATTGACGAAGAGAAGTCGCAGCTCAACGGCAACCCAGCTTTTGAATTGTCGTTTGGAGATAATCCTCTTGCGTCGTTTCCCAGTTTCACGGATTTGTTACCTTTCTCGTGAGGAATCCATGTTCTGCGGGTGTTGATTTTTTAGTGGATATTGTGATGATCAGTGGCTCGATTACTGCTTGGGTCAGTGACCTTTTTGCTTGCATAGGGTGAGCCCTCCATTTTTATTACTGGACTGGTATTAGCTAAAACACTGCTGTGAAGATTCCCATTTTCGGAAGTCGTTTTATTGTATCGGAGTTCTTAGTTGCTCATAGTCCTGTTTTGGTTCCGAAAATGGAAAAATTTTACTCCTGGAGAAGCGGCAGCATTTGGGTAACTGCTATTGGTTAGGTGCTGGTTTTTGCTGATTTCCTTTTTCAAAACCGACGAATTAAATTTGTCTTCGGAATTTTTTTGTTTGGGGGGGGGGGGCGGTGGGAATTCTTTATTCCTCGCACGTTGACTTCTGCAACATAAGGGTGATTTTGGATAAATATTTATTATGCCACTGCTGAAAGATTTGGTATTCTGAATTTCATTATGCAAGTGTTGCTTTCTGTAATTTTTTTTTTTTTTGGCAAACTACATGGACGTGATTTTATCTCTACCGTTGGGAGTCAGATTGATGGCTACTTCATCAGGTTTTTGGTTGATAAATTGGATCCAGATTCGTTAGTGATATTAAATTATGAATTTCTTATTGGACAAATAAATGTGGGTGCCGGAAGAGAAATTTTCTCTCTTTATTTTTGGGAGAGGTGTGAATATCAGAATTAACGGCTAATAAGCATTGCTTATAGTGTTTGCTTTTACTATTAGACGATAACTTTTTCTTTTCTAAATTAAACAAACTTGATTCTGTGGCATAACTACCACTACTACAAGACTAGCGTTTGCTCAGTCAGATTTTCTATAGAAAGACTGAATTATTCCGTATATTATATGGCACCTACAGCAGACATTTTTTAATTAAAGCTGCTTGAATTGGACAAATTTTTATCTTATACCTCCTGTTTTTGGGGACATATTCTTGTACATCTTCTCTTGTGAGTTAATCACTACCTATCTCGGAATAGCAAAGTAAAGATCCAACTGCAACAAAATACTATGAAATGACAGAGAAGAAACATTATGGGCCTAAACTTGAGAACAATCGATGTGTTTCTATCCTTGTGGATTGTGTTGTCGATCCGTATTGCAGTAAGTAGAAAGTTGCGGATCAAGTAAAGGGGCTGTAGTGATGTCAACTCTAATAATGCCAAACTATTTACTGAATAATTGGAGAAATGATGCAAAATGTTGAACTTTTGTAGTAGGTGCCATTACGCTTCTTTGACAATATTATTTGGATAATCCCTTACTCCTTGGCTGCATTGAACATCGAGAGCAATGAGTTGAGGCTTATTATCTTCCGATTGCTGTTAAGAACAGAAATATAATGAGCAGGTTCTTCTGTAATATTCCAGGCATAATTTCCTTGATGGTTTTGCTATCTTTTGAGGCTAGTATAGTCACTTCAAAATATTTTCTTCTATTTCCTACATTTTTTATTGGCCTGTGTTTTGCTGTTATTTAACTTGTTTTTCAACAGTGCAGTAGTTGTTTTGGATGTCGCCTGAAGCCTACACCAATTATAGCTGTGGATGAGCCAGCAAAAGGACTAAGAATTCAGGGGCAGACAGTGAGGAAACCAGCCATATCAGATGGTTTCTGGAGTTCGAGCACATGTGATCTGGATTACAACACTGTTCAATCTCAAAGAAGCATGACCTCTGTCAGCACATTAAACCAACTTTTCTATCATAGCAGTGAACTTTCTCCCACAGGCACCCATCCTGAATTTGTGAACCAAGGCAAATCCTGCATTACTGTTTTTTTTTATGCCCTCCCTCACAGCTACTGATATATTTTTTTTAATTTTATTCCATGTCACTTGTGGTAAAATGAGATGTTTTGTTGGTTTGCTCAATACTGAATGCTGGTATTGTAATCCAGGGCAATTTCAGCTTTCTTGTGTATTGTGGTTGAACCATGTTAGTTGTAATACTTTTTCTTTTTAAAGGAAAAAGAAAGGTTAATTCCTCTCTCTTGCTGCTTGATGCAGGTCTTCTTCTCTGGAATGAGAGCAGGATTCAGTGGGTTGGAGGTAGCAGATCTAAGAAGCAGAGTAAACAGAAACAAGAACCCAAACTTGAGTATGTCATTTGCGTAGGCACTGATCCTATTAGTTAAAGTGTAAATTTCAAGCCCACTCCAACTACAATTTGATCATTTAAGATGGTCAGGCTTGACTAGAGTCGTGAAAAATCATGGGATAAATATGTAATTCATCCATCAAAGATTTTTAAGTTTGCTGCTTCTGATATCAATTAATATGGTTTGTTGGTTGATTAGCCTTACATTCCATTCACGTCTTGATTCACTGCTTTAGTTTGCACCCCAGCCCTAAAATCTACACCTTGTGCTCATGTCAATGATTTCTTGCTGACCTTTGTTTTCCCTTGAAGTTTCTTTTACCTCTTATTCTACGCATTGTTTGAGAAAAGCTGAAAACCGAATTACTATATTTTTGCTCACGGAAGCATATTTTGTCTGAAATAATATTTTCTTTGCCCCACAGTGATTCTCATTCTGTTGGTTGCAGCTGGGATGCAACTTATGATAGTTTGCTTGGGACTAAACAACGTTTTCCCAGGGCTGTACCTTTGTCTGTAAGTATCCTCTACACACACACATTTCCTTGTTGAGATTATTTTTAGACAAGATAGCACAATTACTTGTTTCTGATGAAATTTTCAATAAATAGGAAATGGTTGAATTCTTGGTGAAAATTTGGGAGCATGAAGGGATGTATGATTGAGACTGATTGGGGCTACCGAAGCTGCTTCTGACTTTCTTTTTATTAAAATGCAATCTTTAACTGGTGAAAAGCTTTAGTACATACATGTGAACAGAAGGTTAAAGAATCAAACACACGTTTGTCTTTTGATTGTAATATCAGAAGGACAAGAACCTACCTTTCTTAGTCCTTGAAAGGTGCCGTGACCGTAAATTATTTGATTCTCCACTGATTGTATAGTACCACTCTGGTACTCTTGAAAGGGTGAAATAGGAATGAAATAATACTGTTGACTATTGAGTACTGAATGGATACAAAGAATTTAGCATATCAAATTGATAATCAGATCATTCTTCTGAGGCCAAACTGGTATTTCTGTCTAAAACTAGCCCATCCTTTATTGTTTTGCCGACTGGTGCATGCCTGTGTATCATGGTCAACTTAAAATCTGATTTACGGAATGCCGAAATTGCTGCTATTGCCTTTAATTATTATGTCTGTAAAGTGAGTCTTACTCACGAGGTGGCTGAAAAGATAAGAAAACATTCTTTTTCCTTTGAACTTAATGTTTTCCTATGTGGCCAAAACAAAAGGGGAACTGCAGAATGTTTTCCCACGACACTAGAGGCGTGTCTGGCTTTGGTCTGCATGACACTTTTCTATTTTCTTCTTTTACTATTAGAACAAAAATCAATTATATTTTTTCCAGTCAGCAAACTGATAGGTATGTGCGGGCGGCTCGTTACGCGATGGTTGCCAGAACATTACAATAAGTTAACAAGTATGTTTCTTCAAACTTATTTTTATGCATGTTGATTAATCTAAATGAGTGAAAATGGAAGATTGAGGCTCGCATTTGTGAAAGCATGCCTAGTCATAATTCTTCGTGCTCAAGCTTTGTGAAAATTCCATACAGAAAACAAAAATGGTGTCCTTCTGAGCTTGGATCCTAAACGTTTTTTGCAGCCCCAACTTTCGACTTTTCTGTATCTTTGAATTTTCGGTTTGATTTTGTTGAATATTCGATGTGATGATGGAAGCACACAACTTTTTGGGCGCAGCTTCGCTTTCTTGGCCCAACTACTGTACGGTTGTGTTGTTTGCCAGGAAAATCCAGGCTCGTCAAGCGTATCTTTGACAAAACCCACAATTTACCGTGTCAAAATAATACCTAAATTGTATCGCAAAAAATAGTAGTAGTAATGATAATAATACCTAAATTTGTTGTCTTTTCCTCATACTTACGAGGGCTATCACATGAAATAATTTTCCCCCCTTTTCGTTATCAACAAACAGAAACTAGAATTTATCTCCACCGATTTATTTTAACGGAATGGTGCGTTTAAAATTCCTCGTTGTTCAGAAAATTAAGTGCATCCAAGAGCAGCTAATGGTAATTGATTTAAGAAGTTGCAGCATATGTGATGCCAGGAGGCAGGAGGTTACAGCATATCTTTCTCTCAAGTAAGGTTTTGATTAGAGTAATTAAAAATCACCATCTCTCATGTTTATTATTTGACAACGCTTTTGAAATTAGAATATAGAGTATTTTACATTCATATATTCTCATTATTACCTCATCATGTTTCTAATCAAGATATGATGAGTCTTTTTTTCCTTATAAGCACAGACACCCTCATATGGAAGGCGATCTCATTCAAGGCATTGTTAAGTATATTTCACTATAGGAATTTAGATTTTAGTTCATGACGTTGTGAGAAACTACCCTTTCTATTAGACTCAATTCTATTTATATGATGAATTACTTGTGATCCACTGATTTCACATTATTAATGCATGGTTATCCAAAAAAAATTTCCAACTTCTGATTAGTTCAAATCAGAACCCACATAATTAGACTTAAAAAAATAAGTGGGTCATCATTAAAAATGGAAGACTTTTAGACTAACACTGAATCTGGGCTTGTTTTATGTTTCCTCAACAAACACACACATTTGACGTAGCCTCCTTCTTGACCTTTTGTTTCACCGGCATCCATTCTTTTATCATATATAAAACATTAAAGCCTCCACTAGTCTATTCTTTCATTAATTATTAACATGACTTTGTATGTTACATGAACCAACCGCTTGATGTTCATTGTTCATTGTCACTTCTCTGAATTGCCATGAACTTTCTTTACAAATGGATCTTATATGCACATTATTGTACACTTTTTCCCCCTTCTCCATCTTACCTTGTTCACACCCGACAAGGTGATTATATTGACTATAAAAGAGTCAATATTGTCTAAGTAGACTTTAAATAGTTGAATTTGATTCATGTGGATACAAAACATAATGTTGAGAGATTTTACTTCAACGTAATATTCTTCTGAGGAGTTAGTTAATTAATATGTGTAAATTAAAAAGATAAATAAATTATTAATTCTATATCATTTTAGAAGCAAGATAAATTGATTTAAAAAGAATGATAAATATGAGATATAAAATAGATTAAGATTTTGTATTCAGAATTAACGTTAATTGCTTAATTAGGACTAAATGTGTTTGGCCATAGTTTGCTTCGAATTGACGACTTTTAGGCTGCCCAAACCCTAGCTAAGAATTCCCTCCGTTCCATTGTATTTCTCTGTCAAGAATAAGATTATTGTACACAGATTAAAAATATATATAAAAATATGTTGTATTATACTCCCTCCATCCCTTATTATAAGATCTCATTTTTTGAATGGTATTGTCTCTTTTTATAAGATCCTCTTTGAGTTTGTCTGAGCATTTAATGTAGTATTATTTGTTTTGCCCCTAATTTGATATATTTAATACATTCTCTTTTTTTATTTATTTCACTATTACTCTCTCATATTTATCCATTTATATATAGGGATATATTTAGAAAAAAATTACATTTGTTACATATTAATTGTTTTAAACTAATTTTAATTGTTTTCTTAAACCACGCAATTTAGTTAAAATGATCTTATAACAAGAGACAGAGTAATACCAAATTTGTTCCTCGTATAATACCTCTAAAAACATTGTAATAATAAATGGTCAATTACTCGCATGATAATACAGGAAAAAAAATCTTAGTATTAAATACTCGATTCAAAATTCTAACTAAAAAGACATGTAACAAGAAACAAAATTACTTCTATCAAATGACAAATACCTTTTTTTTAAAAAAAATAAAAATAATTATAATTACGGTGAAGCCAAGTTTTGGATGTTTTATTTATGACCGACATGTCGGTAACTTGGAATTATAATCAGAGGAAGGAACTGTTATGTCTCAACTTGCAGGTCGCTTTTCTGTGAATTTGTTTTTATCAATTAATTGCCCACTTGCATTGTAATCTAACTTGATTAGCGAACTTTGATGTGTAATTAAAGTCATTAACGCGATTCATGGTTTTGAGATTAGCGCGCAATTATATAGGGGCCCACGTGGCAAGTTAATCAATCCCACTGTCATGATTCTCCAAGTTGATCATCCATATGATACTCCCTCGGGTCCTTATTATAAGTTTCAAATAATTAATTTACAGATAATAAATAATTAATTAAAATTAGTTTAAAGCAATAAATAGGTTAGAAATGTAATTTTATTTCTAAACATATCCTTATAATAAATGGAAAAAAAAGATGAAAAAGAATGTGTGAAGAAATGTGATATGAGAGAGAATAAATAATTAAGGGTAAAATCATAAAAAAATGCATTAAATACTAAGACAAATCTCAAATTGAAACTTATAAAATAGACCATACTCTTTTCTAAATTTGAAGCTTATAAATAGGACTGGAGGGAGAAATTAATTAATAAAATTACGTAATAGTAATAATCAAGAAACTGCATATAACATGGATTAATATAATTAAATTATTCCCACTCAGAGAGCAAATAAAATTGTGTAGCATTATTATTCTATGAATGTTGTGGATCAAGATGAGGTGGACAAACATTCTTATTAAAAAACGATGAACTTGTGATTAGAATGCATTAACTAAAACATTATTCTTAAAATTATTTTATTTTGGTGGCTAAAGTTTTAATCTGTTTCATATATATGTCGTAACTTGATTTACGGACGGCGTTATATTTCAAAACCATGATTATTGATATAGAGATGAGAAAAAAAAAAAAAAGGATGAACATGACACAAATCAAAATTCTACAGACTACTAACTAAACTAAAACAAGTAAATAATTAAGAGACAAATAACAATGAACCTAATAAACCATATTAATTGTCACCTCTTATTACTAATTTAAATAAATTAAGAAAATTAGTTAAAGTAGTTATTTGTAATAAATAGATGTTTTTTTTCTAAAACCCCTATTAATCATGTGTATGAGCTAGAACCATTATTTGATAATGAAACCTTTAATATATGCATTTGTTACAAGGACTATCTTGAAAAAAATTAAATAAATATGAGAGACAAAATAAATTGAGATATTATATTTAAGACCAAAAAGAGTATCAAACTAGCTTTTATATTAACGACGAGAGGTAATATTATTTATTAGCAGTACGGGTAAGAGGGGTGTGCATGAGTATTGTGAGAGTAAAAATTTCAAAGAAACTAAATTCAAGAATTGTGGGCATACATATATTTTTGTAAGGACTCATGCATCGACGAAGAATGAGCAATAAATTGTGGGCATTTTGTGAGAAGTTGTTCATGCACAAAAAGATTACTATATCTATTACATGAGAATGGTCAATATTGTGAGAGAGAGAGAGAATATAAATGTTCAAAGTGGAGAGAGAATAATAAACAACTCAAACAAACATATATACTTTGAGGAGGGCGAAATGAATCAAGAAGTAGGTGAGGTGCATTGTTTGTAGACGCAGATCATATTTTATACACATGTGGCCAAACTATCTGCTGCTGCAATCAGATATACATATATCAGAGCCCATTTCTCTCATCATATTCATCCTCTCATCAACGCCCTGTGTCTAATATTCATTATTCATGCATGTACCTGCGAATTTCAAACCTAATATCCATAATCTCTAAGTTCCAAGGAAGACAACGGTGTGAGATAGAGAGTAACTACAAGATCGATACAGTAACAAAACTGGGTTGCCTTCATGAACGGCACCTCGCGCATGTATCATGATGCTTCGTATACATCTAACCTATATTACTACATCATCATCTTTTCACATCGTGATTCATTCGAGGTTTGAATATGAAACATTGTTTGATGGAATTAGTTATGTTAATTTGTTTAAGCAAACAATATTATTGGGACCGATCAAAACCACATGGTTTTGAATTAATCATAGAGAAGAAGTGATTTCATATACTATATCAGGTAAAGATTTAAGAAAAATTTTAGTTTTAACCTACCTCATCAATACAATAATT